TCATTTTTTTACATCACAGAAACCTGACATTTTAACAGGGGTGTGTAGACTTTTTATATCCATTGTATATACCCAAAACCTTTTTGTCATGTTTAGAGTTTGGGAGAATTAAACCCCCTGTAAGGTTTTTTTGTTGCTGTCTGTGTCCTGCTACAGAGATTTCTTTTCATTTCTTGTCCCGAAGAAAAACAACAAAGTGAGGGGAATTTCTTTCCTAGACAGTTGCCACCATAACAGGTTTTGCTCTCGGAAAATCTTCCCCTTACTTATTGTTCTGGTGACAACTTTAACGTTTTGGATTTCTGCTCATTTTCTCCTTCAAAGACAAAGACTACCAGAACAGAAGGTGTGAATCTTTCCAGCAGAGATACAGTGGAAATAAAAAAACCTAATTGGATTTCTAATCTTTCTCTGCTTTTTCAAAACCAAAAAAAAGCTTTGGCTATACATACATTTTAGGTGTAGTTTAAAATCCCACACTTCCACAATTGTGCAACCCTAAACAGCTCTTCTATTGCTTTAAGAAGCGGAGTCTTTATATTTTTAATAATACTTGGCACTATTTTGTAACATTTTCCAATTAATAACTTACCTCTTTAGAAATCTATATTGTATCCAAAACGCCCCTCTATCTTCAAAATCTCCTTCAACATTTACCTTTAAAACAAAGTTTAAAAACAGAACGTTTTCTAAAAGGTACACATGAAAAGTATTTTTATCAATTTTTTTGAAAACGGCAAGAAACCAAGCATTGATGACACATACACAGAAACAAAATACCTGTGATAAATATGCCCTATTTTTTATAAACACAATAACAATTTTTTTAATGTTAGCATTTGTAAGCTAATACAAAAAGATGTCAGCTTTGACTAAATACCTCTGCTAAAGAGAAATACGGCTCAGAAGATTGTCCCATAGTGCCGCAGCCCTCCGTCATCTCTGTTGCAGGGTTGTGAGATTTTAGTGATTCTGCCTGTTATGCATTCCATCGGCCTGTGACCTGCTGTTTGCAATAGATCACCTTATCTTATCAGTGTGTGGACATATTTACTCAGCTTTTCAAGGTGGGATTGGGCAGCTTTATGAATGGCATGAACAATTTCAAGGTTAGGATTTTTATAAAGTTTGGCACAGCAAAAAGGAAAAGTTGTAAAGTTTATATATTCTGATAACAATAAACTTCTGCAGATCAGATGCACTCTATATATTCTGTTTTTACTGGACCAAGTTGTATTTTGTTGTGTAGGTGGAAACCTAAAATAATTTGCCGACTTTCAAACTGAGATAACCTTTGCTCTGCAAGAATGAATACTTTTAGGCCCCTTTCACACAGGCATTCCGTATGTCCGTTTTTCATCTGTGCGTTTACGGATGAGAAACATACACCCATGTGTTTCTATGGATAATCATCTGTTTACATCTGTTAATGTCCGCATCCGTTAACATCCGTTTTTTTGAAACAGAAGAATGGAACGAACGTAAATGGCCAAAAACAGATGTTAACGGACATAAAACAGATGTAAATGGACAAAAACTGATGTAAACAGATGAAAAATGGATGTAAACTGACAAAAACGGATGTAAATGGATCAAAAAATGGATGTAAATTGACAAAAACGGATGTAAACAGACAAAAAACGGATCTAAACGGATGAAAAACTGATGTGAACTGATCCATTTATTCTTGGAAAAAACGTGACTGAACTGATGAAAACAACTGAACGCCCGTGTGAAAGGGGCCTTGGAGTAGGTAGGAATTATGTAGTAGAGAACAAAAACAGAGCACACCAACCTTGAGCATTACCTCGGTAAACAATTAGTAGATTTATTGATTTAAGAGATATACTCACAAAAGTAGCAATATAACAGGCATATATAATCCAAAAACGAATCATAGGATATGAAGACAAATCCCATCGGAAGAGGGGACTCTCGAGGTGAAGCTGATGCGTTTCGAAGGGGGGGTCCCTTCTTCATCAGAGCTCTGGTTGGTGCGGTCTGTTTTTTTTTCTCTACTACAGTTTGTATCGAGCTTCCCCAGCTTCGTGTTGGAGATGCACAACCTTTGATCGGTCTTGATCGAACTTCCATATACTCTAGTATTATTGATCCATCGGCCCCCTACTGATCTGGGTCCCTGAGTGCAGGAGGTGTTGTATCAGTGTCTACTACTTTAGGTAGGAGTTATGGCCACATGCAAGTGAGACTGTTTCAATTGGTGTAAGAAACAGATACAAACATGCAAATGACATAATTGTAGAAGTCCTATACTAGTGCATCTGAAAGATAGATCCTGTGTTCAGCACAATGTTGATACTTTTTGAACAGTAAAGTTTTACTAAAATAAGTACGTAGCAGTTTCTTGGACTAGAATGGCACCTCAGGAATGTAAATCCCAGTGCCTGCTCAGTTCTTGACTTCACAAATGCCTGATGCCAATCAACCCCAACTTCAGCCTCTCAATATGTGATTTGCTACAAATGATTTCAAGGGTCCCACCAGGTTAAAAGGCTTAAAGACGCTCTAATCATTTGGTTCAATCTGAGATTCTTTTCCTTGTATTACTTTGTCGGAGAAATCTAAAAACATGCAAAGTTAGGCTAGCGGTCGCACCTTTGTTGCCAATTTTTTCTAACACTTTTTCAGAAAATCATAGTTTTCTTCATAAATGATATTAGTAAGGGCTCGTTCACACCAGTGGGCATGCATTATGTTTCAAATAAATGTATGCAGGTAAAATGAACCCTGTCTGACTTGTGTGAACTGAAACAATAGGACATGACCTAACCTCGGAAACCACTAAGCAACTTATTCACTCCCTTGTTATCTCTTGGCTTGACTATTGTAACTCCCTCCTCATTGGCCTACCTCATCGCAGACTATCCCCTCTTCAGTCTATCATGAATGCTGCTATCCGACTTATCCACCTTACTAACCGTTCTGTATCTGCCACCCTCTCTCTGCCAATCCCTCCACTGGCTTCCCATTGCCCAACGGATAAAATTCAAAACATTAAAAATAACGTATAAAGCCATTTATAACTCTGCCCCACATTAAATCAACGATCTTGTCTCTAAATATCACCCAAACTGTACTCTCCGCTCCTCGCAAGACCTCCTGCTCTCTAGCTCCCTTGTCTCCTCCTCTCATGCTCGTCTCCAGGACTTTTCCAGAGCTTCCCCCATCCTCTGGAACTCTCTACCCCAATTTATCAGACTATCGCCTACTCTTCTCACTTTTAGGCGATCTCTGAAAACCTATCTCTTCAGGGAAGCCTATCCTGCCCTCAGCTAATAATGGAATCTTCTACTCTTCCAACCAATCCATCCCCCACAGTTACTACCTTTTGTACCACTAGCCCCTCCCTCCTACATTGTAAGCTCCAAGGAGCAGGGCCCTCCTTTCCCTCTTGTATTTAACTGTATTGTCGCTGTATTGTCTCCTGTTATATTGTAAAGCGCTGAGCAAACTGTTGGCGCTATATAAATCCTGTATAATAATAATAATAGTTACAAGTGTGCTCACCGGGGAGAGGAGACTGAGAAAGGTTTCTTCCTGCCTACAGCAGACTGATGACATCATCTCAGCCTAGGCATACTCAGTGGACTGGAGTTCAAGGCCTGCATTTTAATGAGAGAATATACAGCTTTTAAAAATTAAATATGATATTGTGGCATATTTGATTTGTCAGTAATTTATTAGTGCAGAATTGTAAAGCTGCTAATCATCTTTAAAGTTGACCTCATTAAAATATATTTTAAAGTTTTAACAGATTAAAACACTTTTGAAGAATCAGTAGATCATATACCAAATAACATTATTACGTTGAGTAACAAAAGTATCTACAGTCATGGCCAAAAATATTGGCACCCCTGCATTTCTGTCAGATAATGCACCACTTCGCCCAGAAAATTGTTGCAGTTACAAATGTTTAGGTATTCTCGTGTTTATTTCTTTTTGTTTGTATTGGTATGACACAAAAAAGAGGAGAAACAAAAAGCCAAATCTGACACATTCCACACAAAATATCAAAAATGGACTGGGTAAAATGATTAGCACCTTCTTAAAATTGCATTCCAAGTTTGTGATGCTCCTCTAATTTGTAGGTAAACTCACTTGTATGAATTAACAGATCTTCATGTCCCTGTGCCCATTGTGTGCAACATTGTCAAGAGGTTTACAGCCCATGGCACTGTAGCTAATCTCACTGGATGTGGATGAAAGAGAAAAACTTGATCAAAAATTACAATGAAGGATTGTTCGAATGGTTGCTAAAGAAATTTGATCAACTTCCAGACAAATTCAAGCTCCCACTATACAATATGCCACCATCTGAATGAAAAGGGATGCTATGGTGGGAGATCCAGGAGGACCCCACTGCTGATACAGAAACATAACAAAGCCAGATTTGAGTTTGCCAAAACTCACCAGAGGAAGCCAAAATCCTTTAGGAGAATGTGCTGTGGACAGACAAAACACAATTATAGCTTTTTGGTAAAGCCCATTATTCTACTGTTTTCAGAAAAAGAAATGAGGTATTTAACCAATTGCCCTCCTGAGGATTTACCCCCCTTCCTGACCAGGAAATTTTTTGCATTACGGCGCTGTGTTACTTCAACTGACAATTGCGCGGTCATGCAATGCTGCACCCAAATTAAATTTATGTCCTTTTTTCACACTAATTGAGCATTCTTTTGGTGGTATTTGATCGCCTGTGCGTTTTTTATTTTTTGCGCTATAAAATAAAAAGACTGACAATTGTGAGAAAAAAACAATATTTTTTCTTTTTCTTATTAAACATGTCCAGTAAAAAAAATGGAAAAAAATTAAATTTCGGCATAAATTTAGTCCAAAATGTATTCTGCTACTCGTCTGTGCTAAAAAAAAAAAAACCCCAATACCTGTGAATTAATTGGTTTACGTGATAGTTATAGCGTTTACAAATGGCGGTATATATACTGGGATTTATTTTTAATTTTTACTAGTAATGGCGGCGATCAGAGACTTATAGCGGGACTGCGGTGGGAATTCTGACACTGGGGGGAACTGACTTGGTGTCACTGACATCCCCAGTGACACCAATAAGGTGATCAGTGCCCACTGACACTGTACTAATGGCACTGGGCAGAAAGGGGATAACATAAGGGACGATCAAAGGGTTAACTATGTGCTGGGTGTGTTTTACTATTGGGCTGTGTCCGTGTGATTCACTGTAAGCACACTGCTTTGGATGGCTGTGCACAGTGTGCACGAGCTGATAGGGAGGAGAACTGTTTTGTTTACAAACAGTTTTCCTTCCCATTGGAGATCCTCAGCAATCACTGGGCGCCGACAAGTAATCACCGGCCAGGACCCGGTGATTGACAGCCGTGAATGACTGCGCGGGTAGGGCGCGCATGTGCCTCGCACACGCCCCTACCAGGGAATGCAAAAACACGTATATATACGTAATTTTGCGCACCAGTACCAGCCTGTAGCAGTATTTCTGCTATAGGGTGGTCGGGAAGAAGAGAATACAGTCCATACAGTCAAACATGATGGAAGTTCACTGGTGTTTTGGGGTTGCTTTGCTGCTTCAGGCAAGATGTCTTGAACCTGTGCATGGCATTATGAAATCAGAAGACTACCACAGAATTCTGAGGTGCAATTCAGGGCCCAGTTTAAGAAAGCTGGGACTCCGTCAGAGGTCATGGCATGGGTCTTGACCAAAAGCACATGTCAAAAAGCACCCAGAAATGGTTTAAAACAAAGTACTGAGCTGGCCAGAAATGAGTCCAGATCTAAATCCCATAGAACACCTGTGGAGAAATCTCAAAACAGCAGATGGGAAAAAGAACTTGAGGGTGCCAATAATTGTGTGCAGTTCATTTTGGGGCTTTTGTGTGGAATGTATCAGATTTGGCATTTTGTTTCTCCACTTTTTTTGTGTCATACCAATACAAACAAAAGAAATAAACATGAAAATGCCTAAACATTTGTACCCTATTTTACGGCGTATAAGACGACTGGGCGTATAACTTTTCCTGTTAAAATATAGTGTTTGGGCTATACTCGCCGTATAAGACTACCCCTCTTCCAATGCACACCAGTGGGAAGAATCGTGCCCCATCATTGGTGTCAGTGGGAGGAATAGTGTCCCATCATTGGTATTAGTGAGAGGAATAGTGCCCCATCATTGGTATTAGTGGGAGGAATAGTGCTCCATCATTGGTATTAGTGGGAGGAATAGTGCTCCATCATTGGTATTAGTGGGATGAATAGTGTCCCATCATTGGTATTAGTGGGAGGAGCTGTACCCCATCATTGGTATCAGTGGGAGGAATAGTGCCCTATCATTGGTGTCAGTGGGAGGAATAGTGTCCCATCATTGGTATTAGTGGGAGGAATAGTGCCCCATCATTGGTATTAGTGGGAGGAATAGTGCTCCATCATTGGTATTAGTGGGAGGAATAGTGCTCCCATCATTGGTATTAGTGGGATGAATAGTGTCCCATCATTGGTATTAGTGGGAGGAGCTGTACCCCATCATTGGTATCAGTGGGAGGAATAGTGCCCCATCATTGGTATTAGTGGGAGGAATAGTGCCCCATCATTGGTGTCAGTGGGAGGAATAGTGTCCCATCATTGGTATTAGTGGGAGGAATAGTGCCCCATCATTGGTATTAGTGGGAGGAATAGTGCCCCATCATTGGTATTAGTGGGAGGAATAGTGCCCCATCATTGGTGTCAGTGGGAGGAATAGTGTCCCATCATTGGTATTAGTGGGAGGAATAGTGCCCCATCATTGGTATTAGTGGGAGGAATAGTGCTCCATCATTGGTATTAGTGGGAGGAATAGCACCCCATCATTGGTGTCAGTGGGAGGAATAGTGTCTCATCATTGGTATTAGTGGGAGGAGCTGTACCCCATCATTGGTATCAGTGGAAGGAATAGTGCCCCATCATTGGTATTAGTGGGAGGAATAGTGCCCCATTATTGGTGTCAGTGGGAGGAATAGTGTCCCATCATTGGTATTAGTGGGAGGAATAGTGCCCCATCATTGGTATTAGTGGGAGGAATAGTGCCCCATCATTGGTGTCAGTGGGAGGAATAGTGCCCCATTGGTATCAGTGGGAGGAATAGTGCCCCATCATTAGTATCAGTGGGGGGAATAGTGCCCCATCTTTGGTGTCAGTGGGAGGAATCGTGCCCCGTCATTGGTGTCAGTGGGAGGAATAGTGTCCCAACATTGGTGTCAGTGGGAAGAATAGTGTCCCAACATTGGTGTCAGTGGGAGGAAGGAATAGTGTTCCATCATTGGTGTCAGTGGGGGGTGGAATAGTGCCCCATCGTTGGTGTCAGTGGGGGGGGGGGGGGGAATGCCCCATCGTTGGTGTCAGTGGGAGGAATAATGCCCCATCATTGGTATCAGTGACACCAATGATGGGGCACTATTCCTCCCACTGACACCAATGACACTTGCTGACCCCTGTTCCAGTATGGTGCTGCTGCAGCCAGCATATGTGGTTGCAGCAGCACCTCTGCACGGCACACTTACCGGCCGCTCCTTCACTCGATTTTCGCAGGGCCGCTCGGCTCCGCTTCCTCGCCGGTGATTGGCCGCCTGTGTGCCTTTCCTGAGCTACAGTTCTGGCGGCAAATCACCGGTGAGGAGGCGGAGCCGAGCAGTCGTGCTAACATCCTGTGGCCGAACTAAATGAAGGAGCAGCTGGGCTTCCTGGACTGGATCGTCGTGGGACCGGAGCCAAGTAAGAAACAGCAGCCCCTGCCCACCCCTGTACTTAGTGTCCCTTCTGTTGGAAGGGGGGGGCGGTGGCGGCACAGCGCCACCCCCCTAAAAAGTGTCAGCATGCCGTATACTGGCGTATAAGGCGACCCCCGACTTTTGAGAAGATTTTCAAGGGGTAAAAAGTCGTCTTATACGCCAGAAAATACGGTAATTGCAACAATTTTCTTGGTGAAGTGGTATATTATCTGATAGAAATGCAGGGGTGCCAATATATTTAGCCATGACTGTATATGCTTTATTTATGAAATAAAGTTTCATTGTTACATTAATTGTGCTACTCAAATACATAGTGACAACCTAATACATATTGTTGTATGCTTGCCTTTAGTCATTTTAAAAACGCTAACATGGGTCTCCACATCTAATATAACCATTTTAAACCAACACTGTCAGATAAGAATATATGTAAGAATAAAGCTAAAGTAGTAGTAGGACAATCTGTGTCCTCAGTTAGTGGCCCGCTACACCATGCTGCACAACAGTGAGGACACTTACAGTACTTCTAGTTAATTCACAGCTGTAATTAAAGTCACTTTAACTGCTATATAGTGGATGCTTGCTTTTATTGTCTTTGTTGTTCTTTTGGTTTAAATGGTTTAAACCGCAAAACTGCAATACTCACCCTTGATACTCAGCTGTTCCCCACAGTAATTACTTTTGGCACCATTTACTGCTGCCAGTGTTCCGGATTAAATGGAAGCCAGTGTCCTTCAACCCAACACACATAGTAAGCCCCAGTACCACTGCTCTGAATGGCACCACCCGAAGAGAAAGGGAAGGATAAAAAGTAGAGTATTTTTATTGTATGGCAGAAAATCATACATGTAATGATATTAAAGAGGAGCTTTACTTTCCTAATATTCTCATCCCTCCATCCCACTTTCGTGCTGACATCTTCAAATATCCAGCATGGGAGCAGATGTGCCAAGGTGCCAAAGACCTGTAACATATCTTCGCATATGCACAATCCTGCTGCAAACATGTGCCTATCAGTAAAACTGCCTACTGGAATGTGTGATGTGGATATCATCCCAGGACACAGTGGGGACCCCATATCATTCTTGCATAGCAGAGAAAGCAGAAAATGCTGGGCAGCAGCACTAAGAAGGTAATAAATATTTCAAAAATGATTAAAAACTAATCTAATAGTGGAGAAGGCAGGAACCAAGAGCAAAAAGCTATTTTAATGGGTGAAAGTCCATTTTAAATTACAAATTAGTAGTAATTATATATGTTATAGCAATAGTTAAAGAAAGTAAGGCTACATTCACACTAGCTTTGTCAGCAGGCATCAGACGTTTTTAACACTTCTCAAACGCCTATGAAAATCCTGTACATGGCAGTACACAGTGCTGTTCACACAGAAACATTAGCGTTGCGTTGCATCGCAGCAAAACTGACGCCTCGTGTCGAGTCAGGAGGAGTTGAAGCCTCCCATTCAAGTCTATGGTACCATTCCACAAACTACTGGCAGGAGTTTGCAGTGCGGTTGCAACGCGGTTGCGACGCAGTTGCAGAGTGTTAATACCATTTAACTTCATTATAGGAGTTTGTGGTACGGTTTAAACGCTTGGCAAACGCCTAGCAACCACCTCAAAACTGCGCATAGGGCATTTTGGGAACGTTTGAGGAGCGTTTAAAAACACTTCCCAAATGCCTGTCAAATGCTATAGGGACGTTTGGCAAGAGTTAGAAATACAGTCAAGTGTGAACGAGCCCTAAAGGTTTCATTTACGTAATACATTTAGGACCCATTGACACCAGGGGGCACACATTATGATTTGTATCATAGGCATGCGCACGGGGTGTGCCAATCATTAGGATGTGCCCAGTCACACTCCCTGCCCATGCCTATGCTCTCCAGCATACAGATCAGTGATCTGTATACAGTAATCACACAGACATCCTCCAGCTCCGTGTACAGGAAAAGGCTGCACTGTGCCCCAACTTCAACAGACACACACATACCATGCCCACTTCCCTGGACTCTCCAATGTGGAGGGGATAGAAAAGTGAAGCTCCGCCTACCAAGTGCTCCCATCCCCCTGTGGTCTGGGAAATGAGATCATCAGTTGGTGATCGGATTCAGGTTGTGTTCATGGACTCCAAATTTCTCTGCTATTGGGTATACTTAGAGATCCTCTGGCTGGATTGCTCCCCCCTGAACAGACATTGTGCAGTGGGTGGTCTGTCCAGCAAAGAGGGGCTTCCCAAGGTATTGGGGTACAGCTGTGGGGCTGTTAGGGAGGGGAGAGGATGACAGGACCCTGAGAAGGGGGGGGTCAATTACTGGCCCTTCCCTTTATGAATTAACACAGTTAGTGATTGGTACCAATCACTCACTGTGTCCATTCATTACTGAAGCATAGTAAACTGTGTTTACTATGCTTCCGTTTGTGAATGAACAGGAAGCTGCTAAGCACAGAGCACTTCCCATTCATTCACTTTGCAATGCAGCTGAGGCTGCAGAGAAAGGGACTGGGGAATCTATTCTCAGTCACCTTCTCTGTCTCTAAATTGAGATATCAGTGGTCTGTTTAGACCCCTGATATTTCCCAAAAAATAAAATAAATTAAAAACTGCTAACACCATCCATTGCTCTACTTGACACCGTCCACTGTCCTACTGACACCAATCCTTGCCCTACTACACTGTCCACTACCCTACTGACACTGTCAACTGCCCTACTGACACCATCCACTGCTCTAATGACACCAATTTCTGCCCTACTGACACTGTCCCCTGCCCTACTCACACTGTCCACTGCCCTACTTACACTGTCCACTGCTATAATGACATCGGTCTCTGCCCTACTGACACTTTTCACTGCCCTACTAACACCATCCACTGCTCTACTGACACTGATTTCTGCCCTACTGACACCAGTCTCTGCCCTACTGTCACGTATACTGCCCTACTGACACCAATCTCAGCCTTACTAACACATCCACTGCTGTACTGACACCATCCACTGCTCTGACATCAATCTCTGCCCCACTGACACTGTCCATTGCTCTGCTGATACCGTTCACAGGCCCTACTGACTCCCTCCACTGCCCTACTGACACTTTCTACTGCCCTACTGACACCGCCCATGTTTTAATACATTTTAAAATGTTTGTTTACATTTATTTATATACATACAGTATGCGTGATTTGCATTTCCGGGTAGATAGTGCGCGCGTACATGCCGCCCTATCTGTGCGGCCATTGGTGGCTAGGCATATCAATCACTGGGTCCTAGCCGGAGATTCCCCGCCGTCACCCGACAATCGCCATGCAAAGCTGACAGGGGAGAGACCTGTGTGTAAACAACACAGGTCTCTCCTCTGTCAGCATAGACATGCTGTTTTGTATGCAGAGCAGAGAAAAACAGCACACATAGTAAAACACACACAGCACACAGTTAAACCTTTGATCACCCAAAAGTTAACCCCTTCCTGCCCAGTGTCATTAGTACAGTGTCACAAAAAATGGCCTGGTCAGGAAGGGGGGTAAATCCTCTGGAGGGCAAGCGGTTAATAAATCTTGTTTACAATCAATGGCCTGCATTTGTGAGAGTATTTTGTAGTATAGTGTCCCATAGAAAATGTTGATTCTGAAAGAAAAGTAAAGGTTTTCTGAGAAATCTGCTGGGGTTTGATCATTTATACTAAGCACTGTGTATATCACTGCATACATTTTGGTGTCTGAACAGCGATAACATAAATGGAGAGGGGCAGAAGGAATGGAGATACATGAGGAGGATGGGTGAGGCAGGAAGAAGAGGAGTCCTGGGGGATCAGTGGCCGGGGAAAAAACTATTGTTGATCTCGTCAGGGTTCTAGGAGTGAAATGTCAAATTCTGGAGGGAGCAAGCTGTCATAATGTAAAACAGCACTCAGTTAACCCTTTGATCACCCCACATGTTAACCGCTTCATGCCCAGTGCCATTAGTACAGTGTCAGTGATTTTTTATTAGCACTGATCACTGTTATAGTGTCATTGGGGATGTCAATGGCTGTTAGTCAGTTCCCACCCAGTGTCAGAATGCTCACTGCAGTCCTGCAGTCCCACTATAAGTCTCTGATCGCTGCCATTACAAATATAAGAAAAAAATCCAGTATATGTACCGCCAAAAAAAACTTTCATGTAAATCAATTAATTTACATATATTGGGATTTTTTTTAGTAAAGACATGTAGCAAAATACATTTTGGACTGAATTTATGACAAAATTTTATTTTTTACATTTTTTGCTGGAAATGATTAATAGCAAAAAGTCAAAAACATTTTTTTTTTTTGTCAAAATTGTCTTTTTTTTGTTTATAGCGCAAAAAATAAAAAACGCAGAAGTGATCAAATACCACCAATAAAAAGCTCTATTTGTGAAAAAAAAGGACATTTCATTTATGTACAGCATTGCATGACCATGCAATTGTCAGTTACAGTAGCGCAGCGTCGTATCGCAAAAAATGGCCTGGTCAGGAAGGGGGGTAAATCCTCTGGAGGGCAAGTGGTTAATGTGTCTTGTCCTACTTTTTTCAGCACACACACCAACACATCATATTTGTGTAAATTGAAACAACAGGACATAATGAAAATTGTCTAGTCTATACATTGGAACTGCAGTGGGTAATGCTGCAGAACACAGTCCTACACATTTGGTGTGAATGACCCTTAGAAAACATCTTAAATATCATCACTGGTTGATAACATCTCAGGAGGGGTTATCCAGTACGTTTCTTATGCCTACTGCCTGATTCCTCAGTATGGGGATATAATGATGTATTAAACAGAATATCTCATATATGCTCAGTAACACATTCATTCTGCCAGGTACTCTGCTTTATTAAAAAGAACAGAGTCTGCGGTATTTGTAAGATATGCAGTTCTTTCTTATGGCTCTCCCAAGCAGGCTTCCCTGCTCAAAGGAACAGCCATTACTTGCTTACTTAGGTAATTTGAAAGCAGGAGCATCAGGAGCATTGTGCACCCAGTGCTGGCTGTACAAGCTGTAAGTGCTTCCAATTTTGAAAATTAATTTTGAACTTATATGGTTTGCTGAGTAATTCAAACTGTTCCATAGGAATCTAAGTATTATGTACTGTCTTGACTTGAATAAAAGTAAATCATTGGCAAAAGCTGCAATTTGGAGACTCGCTGGACCAGATCGCAGTAATTCCGTATTAAGATGTAATGCATGCGCTACAGCCTCTAAACTAAGTGAAAATTAAAATTACATGGAGTACATTTTTATAGTTATGCTTCTAGTAAGCATTTATAAAAGTTATTTTCTACACCAAAATGAAGGGATAATTTACTGCTTGCTAAATCTGTGAGGTTAGATTCTGATAAGTCTTATACTTACCTGTCCCTGCTACATAGAAATGTCTGTTGTATGTCCCACTCAACACCACAGAGCTGCTTCTTATAGTGATTCTAAAGGCTGAAGGTTTTTTACATTCATGCATTCTATGCATGAAGGTTGAAAAACCTTTTCTGTGAAGCATCATCCCAGCCCCCCACTAATACTCGCCTAAGCCCCCTCTCGATGTGCACTGGAGTCTCAGCTATCCTGGGACTCCCTCTTCTCATTAGCTCCCACTGCTGTCAATCACAGCCAGTGAGCCAATGAGAAGAGAGAGGGGACGGGGCTGAGTGAATGGACACATGGAGCAGTGGAAGCCCCCATAGCAAGTTGCTTGCTGTGGGGATACCCATCAGGAGGGAGGGGCCAGCGAGAGGGGCACCCAAGAAGAGGAGGATCCTGACTGAGCTGTGCAAAACCACTGCACACAGCAGGTAAGTATAGACATGTTTTTTTTTTTTCTCTTAAAAAAAATAAACTTTTAGAATCACTTTAAAATTGTCATGTGTTTCACAAAAAGGTTACCACTCCCTGACAATGTTGTTTTGCACAAAGCACCATGTTCATGTAGCACCTCTTATAGATAATGGTGTTATGAGTAGGTGTATAGGTTCAGTTTTATGGAGTCTTCCTTACTACTCTCCTGTGTCCTCATTAATATCATCAATAAAGTCATAGATTTCTGGAGACGCATTAAAGAGATATCTAGTCCCAAGGAGACAAAAAAACACCAAACTCTTTTAAAAAAAGATCTTTTGTCTTTCTTACATACTTTTCGGGGTAAAAATGACAAAAATATTCTGTATTTGTTTCATGTTAATTAAAAATGATGCAATATTTTCTGTGAATATACTAAGTGCTGCCACAGAACGTCTTGCCGTTTGCTAAGTGTTTTTGTTGCTTCTGTACCCACAGGGGAAAAAGTAAGTAACTCTTCTCATTTCATCAAGTGGCTCTATATGCTTTCAGAGAATAAAGGGCTGTATTGATCTGGACATATTCCAAACTGTACTGGAGCCAAGAGGCAAGGAATTATATAGGGTATGAGCTAACATACTAATACAAATAATGGTGTTTTGCTCAATAGACATTTTATGTTAAGTATCTGACACCTCTGTTTCTACTCGTAAAGCATATGCAATTATTTTATAAGAGCATGCAAAAAAAAATAGGCACAGTGTGATCTCAGGAATTGAAAGGACGGGACTCCAAATGTAGAATGCACAACAGCTATCATAGCTGAGCTACAGGAATTACAGTGACATGAATACTAATGTTTACATACCTGGCACCCTTGGCACCAACGTTATTCCAAAACCAGGATGAATTAGCAGCAGAGGTAGTGGATATCACCAGTTTGGCAAATGAAGTTGAGAAGAGGGGAAATGGCACCTGGCATCATCTTATCTTTGACAAAATAATTCAATGGCATTTCAGGCAACATGGTACAAATTGGATCATGACTTGAATAACCTGACACTGAATCTGGATCTTGCAACATGGCACTGGTAAGTGAATCTAGCAGTATGATGCCCTAACTTCAATGGCACATAGGTGCAAAGTTTAAATATCACGCTTTATGATCTTTATCTGTTCAGGCCAATAATAATTCAGTCCAACACTATTCTCATTTTATAGATTTATCAAAATAAATTGAAGACTTATGAATACACAGCCATGTATATCAAAGTGCTGGGTCTACAAACCCTAACTTTTAGTACACAGTATTGCCTTGACAAATAAAGAATTGTAAAGTATATTTAAAGTCAAACGTTTTTTGGTAGAATATTGAGGGGGTAGGAGCCTTGTCAGGTTTTTACTTCTGGCCATGTCAACATGTCAATTTGTCATGGTGACCACTGTCAGTGTAACTGAAAGTGAGAGGAACTCCAAAAATGTTAGTTTGTCACCAGAACAGCAATGGAGGGCAAAATATATTCTGTATACATCCAGCAAAAGGGACCTTTGCTTCACTATGGAGAGATAGTTTTCTCACTTCCTGTAGTGCCCACTGGACAGGAAATGAAGGGAAACCTGTCCAATGGAACATAGATGGCAGAAAATAAATTGCTAACACTTATAACCATGTCCTAATCTATCCAAACTTAAAAAAAAAGGTTAGACATACTTTAGGAAGCACCATTTCAGAGTTCCACAAATCGCATTCATGCCAACCTCTGCCATTGCTGTTAAGCTCTACCATTTGGCTAGCTATGGCTGGAGAAGAGGGCTGCATACCATATCTAATATGTATGAATTGATATTCTTTACCCTAAGAGAAAGGAATGACTGTTGATACATTACCAAGTTAAGCCAGCTATCAGATAACAGATATCAGGTAAACAGAATTTACCCTTCAATGAGACCCAATACTTTGCAGTCTGTAAATTGGTAAAAATTAATATTGCTTTACACATTTTTGGAATACTGGTAATTTAATTTGTGTATTGGTATGCTATTGGTTGAACAAGTATATACAGTATTTCACACAATCACCTTAGTCTACTACTAAAGAACATCATTGAACTGTGTTGCTATATACATTGAAAGTGGAAGATCAACTAATTTGCAGTACTGTATTTATAAAATGGAGCACTGTACAACTGTAATTAGTTAATGTGGGTGGTTAATTTATTCAAATATTGGAGCTATAAGGATGAGATCATTAGTTTTCCAAAAGAAGAAGAATCCAGGTTGTCAACTTATAGTGACTCTGGCACATATAGCGCTCATTCTCACTTGTGGTACCCTTTATAAGGTACATTGTGGAGGGCCTTGGGGTCAACAATTATGGCCAAAGAGCCGGGGCATATTAGGATATTATGCTGCCCTATGACTACACTAATGATAAAGTCCCTTTATACAAACACTGCCCCTTGCAACATGCAATTATTAATTTAACAAACCATTTTGGAATGCACTGCTAGGATCAGCTTGTTGTCAACTTATTATACAAGGCTGCTTTTCAACTGTACAGATCACCAAACACGAGAAATTAGTGATGGTTTTTATGTTTCCTGAA